AAAATGGCAGCTTAGCCATTAGGGTACATTTTGAATGAGGAAAATCATCAAACGTCTTCGCCCGCCTTGGGTGGGGAGAATGTTTGAGAGGATTGTCAGACTTTTACTGACTAGAAATCAAACCGTTCTTTCTCTTACCTCTCTCTCAAGCCTTTTTTGAGGGGTAAAATTCATCAAACGACTTCTCTCGCGCAGAAGGAGTGACAGACTCTTACTAACTAAAAACCATCCCGCTCGTTATCCTGCGTACTTTCAACCTCGATAAACAATAGAGTATAGTGTCAACTTTCGTATGTATCTTGTTTAGTATTTTTTTTTTTAATGGTATAAGTCGACAACCGAGCTGACGGATTACCTGATGGTAAGCAATCAGCGCCGCCCATGGACACCCGCAACAACAAAGGAGTTACGAGTGCGTTGCCGGCCTTTTGGGGATAAGGGTTGCGGATGTAAGGATCGGGAAGGGATAGGGGAAGGGACGAGATTGGGCCTCCTTCCTTATTCCTTTATTTAAATTATTTATGTCTGAAACTGATGTTAAGTTAAGATTTTTTTTTAGAATTATGAGAAAAGCTTAGTTTATTTGTCCAATGCTGTTAAAGTCTCAACATGACGGTGACGGTATCTAAAATATAACATCTTGCTTGATAATATTGTGTGTGTATGCATGTGTTGAAGACAAGATAATAAATTCCTAGCTAAGTTCAAATTGTCAATATAATATAATATAACGAATTGAGATACAATTTAACAGTTGTGTTATCATCATTTAATAGGTTATTTAGTATCTGATACGTGTCCTTTAGCTTCTTTCAATCTTTTAAAAATAATTTGTACCTCGCGTTTCTCGCATACTTTTTAGTAGTATATTTTAGTAGTATATATATTTTCATAGGTTTACATTCCCAACAGAGAAATCATTAATCAAACTGGGCAAAAACTTTCGAAACCCGATCAAAGTAAGTAAACTAATATTTCTTCTATACAATATTATAAAAGTTATTGTAATTTTTCCAGCGAACAGACTACCGACAGCTATCACTGAAGCAAATAACAGATTAGCTGTTTTCAGGGTCAAAATTAAAATAATAAAACCGCAAAAGACAGCCACTGAAAAGCTGACAGATAAGCGAGTATCGTTTCTCATTTGCATGTTAATCACTAGGGGTCGCCACTGGCTTTGCTTACCGTACAATTTACACCTAAATTATCCCTTCAAAAACACCCTTGGTGGAGGCGAAATTCACTCCACCGATGGTTTACAAGATAATCTTGGCATATAAAGTGGTTGAGTGTATGTAATCATATGAAACGAAGGATAAGTACCTGGAATACCTGTGAAAGGATCTTGATCTGAGTGTTGGGTTGAAGAAAGTATGGATATTTTTTTTATGTAATAGATCGGCAAACGAGCAGCCGGATTACCTGATGGTAAGCAATCAGCGCCGCCCATGGACACCCGCAACGGACTAGTTACGAGTGCGTTGCTGACCTTTTAGGGATTAGGGATTTGGAGATTTAGGAATTGAGGTGGAATTGGGGGAGGGGTAGGATTGGGCCTCCGGTAACCTCACTCACACGGCGAAACAAGCAACGCTGTGGTTTTTTCGCGCCGGTTTTCTGTGAGGTCGTGGTATAACTCCGGTCGAGCTGACCCATTCCTGCCTAGGCATGGCTCTCCCACACTTATGTGGTATGTTGATAAAATCTGTCTATGATATAATGAACCATTGATCTAGGGTATCGCCTATCTACATGCCAAATTACAACCAAATCGAAAGAATAACATACATACTTTCATAGATATTCAAAAACTTAATTAATTCTAGCAATATGACGACAAATTTTATTATTTTTTATAGACGCTGCGCAATTTCAATATAATTTCGTTTAATATTTTAGTCTGGCAACACATTGCTTTAAATGGCGTCGCATGATTTATGGCAACATTAAGCGGGATGTCAAAGTAATAACATCTAAATTGACACATCAAAAAGCCGTTGCGATTTATTCCAGTTAAGTGATTACGATATTTGGAAGGCTTTACGCCAATAACATCTTAACAGCTTTAAGGGTTAAGAAGCAGTTTGGCATGTATATTAATACGGCTTTAAAATTGATACTTTCATAAAAATCAAAATAAAGGTAGCTTGAAAACACAGATAAATCCATACACAGAACAATATCTATTGTTATGCAAGAACGTGGGAGTGGTCTCCCTAATGGTTAGAATTTAATTCTGTCCTCTGCCTACATTAGTTTAACATTTAACTGAGATTTATTAAAACAAGATACATTGGATAAGGTAACTCTTGTGTTTCATTGATTTAAAAGAACCTGTATAAGCTCGGTACTTTTTTTAAAGACAGCATCAAGCTCCACTGACGAACTGACAATCTGACTGTTAAAACAAGACTGTCAATCAGTCTATTTGGACATCAAATTTATCTATTACTTTAATATGAGATACATACATACCAAACATATTATGAGATTCTCATCATACTAGAAGTTTGCTAGCATTTTTATGCAAAGAACTCATTATGAGCCCACAACGAAAACGCCACGGTATCGTTGCGAACGCTCGACAAATACATAGTCTTATATGCAGGAAGTTATAAGTTCAGGTTTCTTAACGATGTTTTCCATAATCGTATGCCATTGGTATCCAAAAAATTAAGTCACATTAGTACTTGTCAGGTTTTGAACTCGCAAAATTACGTAATTTACTGTCAATATCACTTTTAAATTAACCGCCTTGCCAATTATAATCATGTTTGTCAGTAATTATTTAATTATGCTCTTGCAATTTAGTCATTTACTATGATTTATGAATTACAACCATGTATGAATATAACAATAGTAATCTGTTTGTTTTTTTTTACGTCATTAAATGACTCTGTCTGTCTCTCCCTCTTTCTATCCCTATCTCTCTCTCCGTCTTTCTTTCTATTTAGGGGCGGGGCAAGGCGCCTTAATCACCATGATGTTTTTATTACGTATCCGCGCTTTGAAAGCACTAGCAGTCCGCTACTATAATGCGGCTTTAATTCGGAACCTGAAATCCATACCGCATCCAAACACTCAAATATAAATTATACTCTTGTTGATACTAAAATGAAATCAATTATAGCATATAGGTAAGCCGCTGTGAGACGTACAAAGGACTTGAATAATAAGATTTACCTGCATATATAATCACGCATGCTTTTAGTCGGGTTCTTGCTTGTTTAGTTTGAGTGCCATAGATTGGTTGAGCATAGATTAGGATCGGGGCAGAAATCAAATGTTTTGAGAAACAAAAATCATTTTAAATTGAGCAGGTATATCTGATGATAATTAATATTGAAATATTTTGGGTTTAAATTTGGCATTTACTGTCGCGGTTCTTACGTTTTATTATGACCTACCAATCGCCACTCAGGCTTACCTGTCTGAATGATATATTCAGCCATTTAAGTAAAGTATTGTTATATACTTGTATTTGTGTGCCTATTTGTCGAATAAATGTGTTTTCTTTCTTTCTTTCTTTCTAAAGGATAGTTATTTAGGCTGTTGATCAAATGGCTAATAAAGATAGATATCTACGATGTAATATATAAATTTTCGGTCTCGTATCAAATTGGCTCGCTCAATTTTATACGAGACTGGAAGGAATTTATCATAATATATTATTACGCATAAGATGCGTTGGCTGTCGCAGTGTCACGTGTTAGAGTCCGTACGGAACAACTTTTTGTGTGATCCAGAAATTGATGTTTGTTCTAATTTTAGTAGTTTTTTTCCTTACCTTACCTAATAAGATAAGGTATTTATATATAGAAAAAAAAACTTCGGTAATGAACAGGAAAACATTCAGGTCATTCTTGACCGCAAACTCTTGACACAATAAGGTGCGGTACCTTGCGACCCCGGCGGTCAAGAATGACCTGAATGTTTGACTGAACATTACCGAAGTTTGTTTGCCTCGGCCTGCAGCAAGATAAGGAACGGGGGGTTTTTTAGTCAGGAGTCTGACAGTCCCTCTGCGCCATACCCTGGGCGAGAGAAAACAGGTGATGATTTCCTTCCAAAAGAAAATTGGTTGTTCTTGCCATTTTGAAAATTACAAAAAACCAAGGCTGACCGTTTCACGGAAGTTACAATATTAATAAGTAATACAAAAATTCTGACAGATTGTAACACAAACCCCCAAACTCGAGTGTTCAAGGGAAAAACACAAAATTGATTTTGTCTCGTCACTTTCAATTTAATTATAAAGCTTTCGCCAGCTCAAAGTAAATTATTTCTAATTAATTTTAACAAACTAATTATCAAAAGTTTTTTGTCCCTTTCTAGAGCTGAGATTGACAAATAAAATTGTTATATTATATCTTTTATCATGTCTCTATTTAATTATTAAAATTAATTTCGTAATTGCATTAAAATTCGACATTATTTACGGGTTTGATAGCAAATTCAAATTTTATAAACAATCTTGTCATGCCATTATTATTCTTGTAGACGTGGTAAAATACAGATATGACTTTTTTGAACTTTGAACTTTGCTTGGACACGAATAGGCCGCGGCCTCACAGAATACTGGTGTGAAACAAACGCTTGCGTTGATTTTCGCCGTGTGAGTGAGGTTACCGAAAGTCCAACGCCCCGACATTCTTTTTCCCAATTCCTTTATTCTTAATTCTACAAAAGGCTGGTTAAGCACTTTTGACTTCTTTAGTGGGATGGACGACACCAATTTCTTACCATCAGATAATCCCAAAAAGAAGAAAAGGAATATTGCCATGAAAGCAATTAACATTTTTGAAAATGAAGTAAGCATTGTCGTCAAGAATTATTTTTAATATATGTGTGAATTTGATACTATTTCGAATCTAATGCATGATTGCTAAGAATACGAAATTCAATAAATAAAATAATATAGCGTTCAATAAACTAAAGTTTAATTAAAGTAAAACACTTCTAACACAATATTCACTAACAAAAAAACAATTTACAAATTAGTACATTTTCCTAGGTTTCAAATATTTTAGGACACCTCTGCAGTAATCTTTCAAATACTCTGGCCAGTTGATCTGAGTTGGGTCGCATTTGAACTTCTCCTGGTCTTCGGGAGACAGTGAGGCATGCAGCTGCCTCGTACGGTCGGACCTCATGATCCAAGCGTTGCTGCTGAAGTGCTCATAAGCATCCCTTAGACGTATGACTTGAGCTAATATTTTTACGTATCTGGGAAATTAAGTGTAATAAATAATCAGTTATCTATACTAATAATATTATAAAGCTGGATAATATGTTTGTGTTTTAACGCGCTAATCTCCAAAACTTCTAGTTCGAATTGTGTTTGTGATTGCTAGTTATCGGAGAAGGCTTTAGGCTGTAAAACCACACGCTACGATTTGTGGTAGGCGAGTAGCGAGTGAAACCGCGCGATAGAAGCTAGTTATAAATAATAGTGGTGGTCAAATTGAATCATATGCTACTCGCCTGCTAATTGTCATAGCAAGATGTTTTATAGCTTATAGCCGTCATACAAAGACGATTTTAGTTTTCATTATACTATTCCTTTAGAGATAATAAAGGCTTTTAAAGAAATCAAGATCAAATCAAATGAGGACCTTTGGGGACTATCGGTGAAAGTCTGCGGATCACTTATCATATAAAAAATGTATTATTGGTGAATTGTAAAACAATTTTTTTTTTAAGAGTAACAATGGAGTTTCTTGCTCGTTCTTCTCCATTCGAAACTACAATTTGGAACGAGCACCTAGCTTCACTGACGAACAGACTGACAGACTACTATTCTATTTTGACGTTTCAAAAGTACCTATTTATGGTTTAGTTGGAATAAATGATTTTGATTTGAGCCTTCCTTGATAAATAGAGTATCCAGCACAAAATAATTGTTCAATTCGATGCAGTAGTTCTGGAGATTAGGCCGTCCAAACAAACAAACTCTTGAATTTTATAATATTTATTAGAATAGACTATATTCGGATGATGCCAATATTTATTTGAATAATGGTTTGTGTAAGAATGAAATCACTTTTAAGTATTTTATATTATTAGGTACTTAAACATAACAACTTATTTTTGTTTATTCCAACAGTTTATAAGGATTGCTTTTCAGTTCCTCCTTTTTAAGACTATCAATTTCAATTTAATTTATTGATTTATAAATAAATTTATTTAAATTAGGGTTGATTTTTTAATAGTCTGATAAATGTTATCTGAGGAATAAAATTGTTGCACTGTATTATACAAACATTCTGACGCGACGGCATCATAATTGAATAATTAACAGGTAACTTTTATCTAACCATTGAGAAACCAGCCCTTTAATTATTGTTATCACGATTTCAGTTCCTAACTACAGCGATGATGTTATCGTCAGAATATCGGAATTCTAGTTTCTAGATTATAGGTAGTACTACGAAATATTTTAACGCCTCATATAGTAAGTACTGATAATTTTATTAGAAACGACCCGCCCCCGCTTCACACGGGTGAAACGCTGATCGTTAATATCTCTACTATTAAATAAATCTTAGTACATATGTATATATGTATAAACCTTTCTCATCAATCACTCTATTTATGAAAAAAAACCGCATTATAATTCGTTGTTTGAAAGATTTAAGCATACATAAGGATAAAGTGGCAGAAACAGCGACTTTATTTTTTATATGTTTATTTATTTATTTATTTATTTATCATCATTATCACTAACATAACAGACTAATCCAATGGGTTAGTGAGGCATTTAACTAAAATTAAATCAAAAAAAGGTAAAAAAGCTACGCTTACCTGGGTTCTTTTCCAGTAATTTTCAGCCATAAGTCAAGCATATGCGCAGGTACAGTCTGCATTAAAAACGATCCAATTGCCAAAGCGATTTTGGATTCAACAAATACAATGTTTGGGTAGGGTAAATCGTCTGGAAAGATATAATTACCGGAGAGCCATGCTTCGGCACGAATGGGTCGGCTCGACCGGAGTGATACCACGGCCTCACAGAAAACCGGCGTGAAACAACCACAGCGTTGTGTTTCGCCGTGTGAGTGAGGTTACCGGAGGCCCAATCCTTCCCTTCCCTCAATCCCTAAATCTCCAAATCCCTAATCCCTAAAAGGTCGGCAACGCACTCGTAACTCCTCTGTTGCAGGTGTCCATGGGCGGCGCTGATTGCTTACCATCAGGTAGTCCGTCTGCACGTTTGCCGACCTATAATATAAAAAAAAAAAAAACAAAAAAAATACATATCTCTAAAAGCATCAATAACACAGTTTTAACAGTGATGTTTAAAATAATTACTCACTTTTCCCTCGTCGAACCACTTCGTCTAAGAAATAGTTTTTGAAATCGGACCAATCCGTCGGATTGTCTGCTGATGTGGTCGAGTGAAATACTTGTACCTCATTTGTTCTGAAAAAGGTGTCAAAAATGCAGTTTAGACTTAGCCCGAACTGAGCGTGACATTTGGTCTTATAATTTGAAATTTCCTAGAGTTGAGGATGTAAATACAATAACGTTCCGCATTGCCAGCCCGAAACAGGAGAAGGAATGGGATGGGTTATAGTCAGTAAGAGTCTGGAACGTCTGAGAGTCTCGCCCCCTTTTGGGAAGTAATTTGATGATTTCTCTTTCTTCTTTCTCATACTTTACTTTCCTTGTTATAATCATTGGATCAAAACCTTATATGCGTGAGAAGAGGCTTTTGCTCAGCAGGGTACACTTATAGGCTAATGATGTGATTATGATATGACCGTGACATCTGGTTTTAGCAGAATTTCTGAGGGTTACGTACGGGAGCAAATACTATTTAACCAATAATATACCGTGTCGCCGGCCCGGAGCAGGAGAAGGATTAGGGTGGTTTTTAGTCAGTAAGAGTTTGACGCTCAAAAAAATTTTTTTCGTATAACGTAAAAAAAAATTTTGAGTCGGCAAACGACACGGATTACCTGATGGTAAGCAATCGACGCCGCCCGCGGACACCCCCAACATCAAAGGAGTAACGAGAACGTTGCCGGTCTTTTGGAGATAGAGGTTGCGGATATAAGGATCGGGAAGGGATAGGGGAGGAATTGGGCCTCCGGTTACCTCACTCACATGGTGAAACACGCTGTGGTGGTATCACCCCGATCAAGCCGACCCATTCGTGTCGAAGTTTGGCTCTCCCACACTTTAAATTATTATAATTTATAATAATTTGATAATTTCCTATCCTCTCAAGAGGTATCTAACATTTTATTTTCATTGTTATAATCATTGAAAGTCTTATAAAAGTCATAGATCTCCTTACCTTTTGGCCTTTGCAGCAGCTACAATGCTCAGATTAGTCACAAAGTCTACTGGAATAAAATCAATTCCACTGTTGTAGTTTCCACGTACGATCCGCAGCCATCCTTCAGAAGCGTTCATTAGAAATGGTGTGCTCCCATACCAGTTGTCTAGCCAGCCTGGAATTGGTTCTTGTTTTGTGGCAGAAACTGAAAAAAGAAGGTTTTCGAATTAAGTTGAGCAATTTTACGGCTTATTTTATGTATTTACTAGTTTTTGCCCGCGACTCCGTTCGCGTGGAATTGGTACTTCCTTTAGATTTTTGATATAAAACTACCCTCTGTCCTTTCTCGAGTTCTAAACTATGTCTGTACCAAATTTTACAGAAATCGGTTTAGTGGTTTAGGCGTGAAGAAAAGACAGACAGACAGAGTTACTTTTGCATTTATAATATTAGTTTGGAATATGTAAGTAAAATATTTTCAAGATCGTAGAAACGGCTCAACCGATTTCTATAAAATTTTGTAGACGGTTACCGGTCAAAAAAACTATGGAATTAGGTTATTAATTAACATATTCGGGCCAAAACGTATTTACTTGGCCTTTGAATAATACGGTGCGAAAACTAAGGCCCTTTTTTATAGTGTCTGGATAACAGAAGTGCCAGATAAATTTGAATAAAGAATGTTATTTGTATGAACAACATATGTGCACACTAACACCCGGTTTCCGAAAGGCCGAACAATGTTAAAATCAATTTAATCTCTTGTCAAGTCGTCTGATTGGTTGACTGAATTATTATCAACAACCAATCAGATGACTTGACAAGACTAGTTGATTTTGACGTTGATCGGGCTTTCGGAAACCGGGCATAAGTAACTGCAATAAGAACTTAATGAACCTACTTGTAACAAGTGAACGAATAAATTTATTTCTTTCTACTTACATGACTTTATCGTAGACTTATATTAAGATGGTGAAACAGGCTAAAAATGAAGCCGGCCACATTCCGATGACAAAAAAAATTGTTTTCCCAATACATTACTTCTTATCTTTACTATTTATAATAAAACAATTATTTAAAAAATGCAAAGATAATAAATAATCAATCAATCATCAGATATTTTAATGGATAGATAAGTTATATCTTGTATAATATAAAAATGAATCGCGAAACGTGTTGATAGGTGCATAACTCAACAACGCCTTTTTTTTGTCAGGGGAAAATCATCCAATGAGTTCTCCCGCCCAGGGGATTTCGAGAGAGAGTGTCAGACTCTTACTGACTAACCCCCCCCCCCCCCCGTTCCTTCTCCTGCTCTGGGCCGAGGTCGCGGTGCATCATTGCGCTTACCTCGCAGCCCCGGCTAAACATCAGCCCTATTGGGCCCCGTCTGTGGTAGTCTATTGGCTCTTTAAGTCGCGCGCGGAACGCTACGCGCCGTACGCTCGGGTCCGGTTCTGGTCGGGCAGCAAGCTACCCTTACCCGCCGTCCGCAGACCCGCGCTTACGGTGGCCGGAGATCATCTCCCGATCCCCGACGTCCGGAATGTCGCCTTCTGCGGCGGCTGGGTCGCGAGGAGGATAGTTCCCTCACGCGCTCCGCCTCCTCCTTTGCGAGCATAACTGCTTCGCAGAAGGAGGAGATAGCTTCCCAGTTCCTCTCACGCTGCACCATGGCCTCGATTAAGGCCGGGCGCAACAACGCCTGGATGTTTGTTATTGTCAGGAGAAAGTTCGAAGGGATGTCAATTTTCGAAAAGTGGACGGGATTATCTGATAATATCGACTCTTTCATCTTTCGTAGTAAGCAATGGACACCGATGCGAAGTAAGTACGGGCCACTAGTATGAAATACTAGCTTTCGCCCGCGGCTTCACCCACATGGTATGTTGATAAGAAGTAACCTATATGTTACATAGAGCATCACCTATCTACATAACAAAACCAAATCAGTCCAGTCGTGGAAGAATACAACACACATACATCCATAAATTCTCAGAAACTTTCACATTTATAATATTAGTAGAATGATGTTTTTTTTTGCTGAGGGGAAAATCATCAAATTTCTTTTGTCGCCCAGGGTGGGGCGAGAGGGGGTGTGAGACGTTAACTGTTCCTTTCTTGGTCCAGGCCGAAGCCGCGGTACTTTATTGGCAAGCAACCTCGATTGAACATCGACCCTGTTGGGCCCATCTGTGGTGATCTAATGGCTCTTTGAGGCTCGCGCCGCGCGCGGAATGCTGCGCGCCGAGTGCTCGGGTCTGTTTCTGGTCGGGCAGCGAGCTACCCCAGCTCACCGCCCACATATCCTGGTCGAATCACTCACCAAACAGTTAAGTGAGTTATGTGCATCGTTAAACACTATAATTAGGTAATTTAATATGTCCCACAAAATATTATAAAACAAAAACATTTAAATATAATTACCAATAGACGGTCTGATGATGACAGCGGGCACATTTCCATGATGCTTACTCAAATAAGCCTCTGATAACGATTTTGTAAATGTATAAGTATTCGGCTGGCCATCTGCAATCAAAAATACTTATAAAACTTCTATAATATAAAAATGAATCGCAAAATGTGTTGGTAAGCGCATAACTCAACAACGCCGGGACCAATTTTGCTAATTCTTTTTTTGTTGTGTTTGTTATTGTCAGGAGAAGGTTCTTATCAAAGAAAATATGAGTTAAGTAGAGAAGATCAGGTAAAAGTGACCCTTTGATAGCGAGATAGTTAAACCCGAGCGAAGCAGGGGCGAGCTGCTAGTAATTAATACAAATCAATCATTTTACTCAGTTCATTGTACGATTGCGTGATTGCGATGTCGTTCGATAAAGTTCATTACATACTAATAGTCATTTAAATATTAGATTAGTGTTTGGAAAAAGGAGAACAAGTAGACATAGTAAATCAATAAGTAAACACAAGTGTGGCAGAGTCATGCTTCGGCACGAATGGGTCGGCTCGACCGGAGTGATACCACGGCCTCACAGAAGGCCTCACAGAGGACCGGCGTGAAACAACCACATTGTTGTGTTTCGCGGTGTGATTGAGGTTACCGGAGGCCCAATACTTCCCCTTCTCCATATCCTCCCCAGCCCCTAAATCTCCAAATCCCTAATCCCTAAAAGGTAGGCAACGCACTAGTAACTCTATCGTTGCGGGTGTCCATGGGCGGCGCTGATTGCTTACAATTCGTCTACTAGTTTGGCGACCACAGTAATAGAGAAGAATATATTATTAAAAATAGACGGTCATCCGTCTGTACTGGGTGGGGCAAGATAGTGTCAGAATCTTACTGAATTAATACCAACCCGTTCCTTGTCCTGATCCGAGCCACAAGGCAACATCTACAATTTCACACACACATCACAGCCAGACACGGAAAAAAATATAAACTAAAATAAACTCTTTCAACTTACTTATAAATTTCAAAGTGGCCTGCTCATCATCTCCGTATTCTTCGATGAATTTGTAAATATCTTCCACTTTAGCTGGTGGAGGGTAAACAGTTTCGACAAGTACCTTTTTCTGTGTGTGCGTAAATGCTGTTGATATGTAGAGAAATACCTGTGAAGTAAATAGTTAGGAATTTATTAATACCGACTTATTTTAAACTAGCTTTTGCCCGCGACTTTGTTCGAGTGGATTTTTTGTTTAAAAACTATCCTATGTCCTTTCTCGAGTTCCAAACTGTCATCATCATATCAGCCACAGGACGTCCACTGCTGAACATAGGCCTCCCCCATTGACTTCCAGATAGGCCGGTTGGAAGCGACCTGCATCCAGCGGCTTCCTGCGACCTTAATCAGGTCGTCTGTCCACCTTGCGGGTGGACGTCCCACGCTGCGCTTGCCGGTACGTGGCCTCCACTCGAGAACCTTTCTGCCCCAGCGGCCGTCGGTTCTACGCGCTATGTGCCCTGCCCATTGCCACTTCAACTTACTAATCCGCTGGGCTATGTCGGAAACTTTTGTTCGTTTGCGGACATCCTCGTTTTTTATACGGTCTCGCAAAGAAACTCCGAGCATAGCCCTCTCCAAAGCGCGCTGAGCGACCTTGAGCTTCTTTATAAGGCCCACAGTAAGAGACCACGTTTCAGTTCCATAGGTCATCGCTGGTAACACACATTGATTATAGACTTTCGTCTTAAGGCACTGAGGTAAGTTGGACGAGAAGATGTTGCGTAGTTTCCCGAACGCTGCCCATCCAAGTTGGATTCGACGATTGACCTCCTTCTCGAAATTGGACCTACCTAGCTGGATCACTTGTCCCAGGTATACATATTCGTCAACAATTTCGAGGTTAGAACTCCCAACTGATATCGGATAGGGCGTGACATGGGCGTTTGCCATGACTTTCATCTTGTCCATGTTCATTCGGAGCCCTACCTGTTGAGAAACTCTACAGAGGTCATCGAGCATTGTGCTCAGATCCTCCAGCGATTCTGCCATGACTACAATGTCGTCGGCAAACCGGAGGTGAGTGATGTACTCGCCGTTGATGTTGATGCCAGATCCTTTCCATTCCAAGAGCTTGAAAGCGTCTTCCAATGCAGCGGTAAACAGTTTCGGAGATATGACGTCTCCTTGCCTTACACCTCGCTGCAGAGGAATATTCTTAGTGCTCTGGTTTTGTACTTGGACCGACATAGTGGCGTTTGTGTATAAGCACTTCAAAACCTCGATGTACCGAGTCCAAACTGTGTCTGTACCAAATTTCACATAAACAGGTTTAGTAGTTTAGGCGTGAAGAAAAGACAGACAGACAGACATAATTACTTTCGCATTTATAATATTAGTTTGGATATGGAATGATGTCGTGGTGGCACGGATTTTAAGGTTTCATGCATGAGTGACTATATTTTTCTGAATTATACGTATGTTAAATTATGATTATTACATTCATAGATGAATAAATAAATTGTAGTGGAATTTAACTTGAATGAGACTTAACCACAGATCCAGTTAGAAAGAATTTGAGAATTGGAGCCGTGAGTTCCAGGTTTGACGACTGGGGACGGGGGAAGATTGGGTCTCCGAGAATCCTTACACCTTAAAGGGAACCTGTGTACTGTATATACTATTTTCTAGGATATCATGGTGTTACTCTGGTGAAACATAGCCTTAGGTTACTTCCTGGGACATGAAAAGTTGCGTTTCTTTAACGATGTAATGAATGCTAAATTTACCTCAATATTCTTCATCCGTTGACTGAGCTCAAGAAGTTTCTTTGTACTTTCGAAGTTGGTGTTCATTGCTATTGCTAACGGTTCAGTAAACTTCACTGTTGCTGCACCATGGTATACTACTGATACCTGAAAATTGGCGTTTTTTATGTGAAAAGTCCGCCATAGTCTTTAAAACTGCTGCAAACTCGTCATCATCATCATCATCATCATCAGCCTGTTGTCGTCCACTGCTGGGCATAGGCCTCCCCAATTGCACGCCACTGAGCTCGATGTTCAGCTCTTCTCATCCAACCACTGCCAGCCACCCTGCGGATGTCGTCAGTCCACCTAGCTGGAGGGCGCCCTACACTACGTTTGCCTAGACGTGGTCTCCACTCTAGGACACGTTTACTCCATCGGTCATCGGTTCTTCGACAGATGTGACCTGCCCACTGCCACTTAAGTTTGCTAATCCTTTGGGCTATGTCGATAACCTTAGTTCTCTGTCGGATCACCTCGTTTCGAATACGATCCTTCAGAGAGACTCCAAGCATAGCCCTTTCCATAGCTCGCTGAGCGACTTTAAATTGGTGGATCAGTCGCACTGTAAGTGTCCACGTCTCGGCTCCGTATGTCATCACTGGTAGGACGCACTCATTGAAGACTTTTGTCTTCAGGCTTTGCGGTATCTTTGACGAGAATACCCGACTGAGTTTCCTATACGCTGCAAACTCGTGTAAAGCAAGATCTTCAATAGACACAACTATGAAAACACCGAAAGTTCAGGGTGGCTCAGGCTCGATCAGCCACAGCATCAACTTTGCAGTCAAATTAGGCACGCAGAAATGCATTAACTGCACAATGAGACTGTATAACAGAAAGAAGCTTAGTTTCCAAACATTACTTATCTGCTTTCTTATTCTCATAGCATTAAACAGAGGTGTAGACATCTAGAATGTAATATCCACATCCATTTTGTGTGAGTATATTTATATATTGAGCAAAGTTCCTAACTCTGTGCTGAGCAGAACGTTTGAATAAAAAAAACTCAACAACACTAAACGACTGGGCAATTGAACTTGCAATAGGTTTCTCAGTAGACTTGGCCTTGACCAAGCCACCTTTCGATCAAAGAGTAACTTAGACCTCACAGCAAAGTATGAAAGAAAATAAAACTATACTGGTAAGTACCCGACTTATGTTTTGAAAGTTTCAGTGCAAAAATATGAGCTTGTACTTACATTATCAATCAATGTTTGTTCATCTTCAGGTTTCAGTCCTAATTTTGGCAATCGAATATCTCCAGAGATAGGGACCAACTTCTTGAAACTTTCAGGGTCGGTTTTTTTCAATCTTGTGAATAACTGAAAATATGGGTATTATTATTTTGTTGTACATGAACATTTAACAGTGATAGTGTTTGTTTTCTTAAACTTTAGATGTAAATTATAATTTGTAATAATTATAAGCAGTGAGCAAAGATTAATTATTATGTTTTCGGCTTACTCACGTAATAATTTGACAAGATACTCAAGAATTTCAAGCCATGCTAGAGGACCATTTTTTTGAGCAGCATTCCGCGTTTACGTGAATTAGCCGAAAACATAATAATAAATTTAGAATGTCTCGAGAAAGTTTTAATAAAAAAAAAAGTGAAGATGTTTGGTATCAAGCAAATCCTTCGGCGCCTAACATGCTAATGAAGAGGAAAGCTGATGCAGTGAAACATTATTGGCGTTGCACCTTGACGGCCTCGGAGCAGGTGTACATGTGGACTTTTCTGACTTATAAAATATTACATTGGTAAAATAAAACTTACCGGATTGTCCAATAAATTTTTTATCCTCTTATTAATGCTCGCACAAGCAAGTATATTTTGTCTATTTCTTTACATGAATATAATAATTTCTCGATATAAACCTGAAACATATTTTTTTGAAAACAAATCATAAAAGCAAAGAAAAGTTTCTTAAGACATCCTCGTATCAGAAGCGACGCTTGCCAGCTGAATAGGGATAAAGAAGAAAAGGTTTTAGATTAATTGAAAACATTGCAAAAAGGATTTTTTTTCTCTTCTTACGGAATTCAAAAATTTAGATAATATACTCATATTAATGTGAGATATAAAATGTTACTTCACGATTTAGACTAGTACAATTGAAATTTAACTTAAATGTAACTTATATTTTATTATAGCGCAAATAAAAAATAAGTGTTTTATATAAAACGGATTAATGAGGTCTTTAATTGTTATACATTGTCTTCATCTCTTAATTGTGATGTGCACATGATTATGGCCTCAGACTTAGTTCGAAACTCGACAAGTTATCTCGTTGAGCAATTACGTGAGGAAGCAACATTACTAATTTTATAAAGAGGTAAAATTTGTAAGTTTGAATGTAGGTGTAATCTTTGGAACCACTGAAAGGTAGCTACAAGGTCCCTGAGTGCTATAGGCTATAAAACATCACGCCACGATTAAATGGAGCCGAGCAGCGGGTGAAACCGCGAGAGAGTAGCTAGTAACATATATTAGAAGAGATTTTATAGACAAATATGAAACGAAGAATAACATAGAACTAACCTTTCCTAAAAATCCTGTGGCTCCAGTAACCAATAAAGATTTCCCAGCGTAATAGTTTGCAACTGATTGGTAATCTTCTTTTGACTTTTGACTAGAAACAAAATATGATACTTAATATCTCGTGGTATGAACATAATTTTACTAACGCAAAAAGCTCAAATGCATATTCGCCTCAAAATTTTCGTTTACTTATAGTATGTGTCGCCATGATTGTAATTGAGGCTACCGGAGGCCCTATCCTTTTACTCCTGCATCGAAATGCCGGCAACGCAATCGTACCTAACTCTCCTCTGATGTAACAGCTGCTCATGGTTGTTGTCAATTGCTTACCATCATCTAGTGGCGAGAGGGAGTGTCAGACTCTTTTTTTTATGTGTCAGCAAACGAACAGACGCATTACCTGACAAGCAATCAGCGCCGCCCATGGACACCCGCAACAACAGTGGAGCAATTAATGCGTTGCCGACGTTTTGGGAATGGGGGAGGGGAAGGATTGGGCCTCCGGTAACCTCACTCACACGGCGAAACACAACGCTGTGGTTGTTTCACGCAGGATTTCTTATTACTCCGGTCGAGCCGACCCATTCGTGCCGAAGCATGGCTCTCCTACACTTAAGCGTCCGGTTCTTTCTTCTGCTCCAGGCCGAGGCTGCGCTTGGACCTTTAACCTTCACCTTTATTGTTTTACTACTAAAGGAGTGTTTGTATAATTAAAAATAGTTATTATTTCTTATTACTGTCCTCTTGACGACCTATATAAGACTTTTCTACTACAGCTTCATCCAAAGGTTGCCTGTAAGTGATCACCTTGTGCGATAAGCCCGACCATACAGTAGTCGATCTTATTCAGACACTGTATTTTTGTTTTGTAAGTGGTTCTACGTAATTACACGGTGAGAAATAGAATATAAACAAATGAATAAGTTGCAACAAAATACAAATGTGGGAATTTTATTTTCATAAAGGATGCAACAAATACTGTTGCAGTTCATGTTTTGCTGAATGAATAGCCATAATAATATGTAACAAAAAAAAAACATGAATATATTCCGTACGTAAATAAAACGTACGTTTTAAAATAGTTGCACATGAGTTTGGCGGTGCCATGGAGACCGGTATGATCGGGGTTTCTGTGGGCAAAAAATCTAAGAAATGGAAATTCTCCAAATAATCACATTCGCCGATATTACTCGTAAAGTCTGCCGAATGGTTTTTAGTTAGTAAGAGTTTGACACTACCTGCCACTCCACATAGAAGAAGTCATTTGATGATTCTCTTTCAAAAGCTCGTCTGAAAGTTAAAGTGGCAACGAGGCTCGATTGGCACCCACGAACCGGAAAACATATTGTGGACAGGGCATACGCTGCACGAATCCAACTTAGGTGGACCGGCGACATCGTCGAGTCGCTTGGCCAATGGATGCAAGTGGCGAGTTATCCTTCAATGAGGAGAACTACGAGGAGGCTTGTGATCGGCCATGGTTGCCTTCTGGCTGATAATGATGATGATGATGATGAGGAGTTGCCAGAGTTGTTCGCCGTATCGATTGTTGAAAACTAAATATTATTATGTTTAGACGTTTCTTGGGACCTGTCATGAAGCTGCGAATGATCATCAAAGGACGACAAGGGGAGTTACTTGTTCAAGACTTGACTGGTCTTTCACTGCACTAGACTGATCGAATGAATGATAATGATCATTTTAAATGATAATACAAGACATAACAATGTTTATAACTTACCTAGCTACACTAGAATGTCCTCGAACATAGCCAATTTGACATGTTTTCTGAATCACAACACTGTTTTTCGTAAAACAATTCTTTAGAACGTAAATTCTCAACATTTTACACTTTTGAATAAGACAAAAGTTGATGAGCGAATGCGAATTTTAAAAATAAAATAATCTTTAATAATTTAATAATAAAAATGAGCTTGAACAATAACCTATTGTTTTTAATTGCATTTAAAAATATGTAAGAAACTGTTCAACTGTATATTGTCTGTAAAGCTAAATAATAAATAAAAATTAAGGACTTAATTTTTATATAAGCAACGTAAATGGCAAAGCCAACTGTAAAATACGTCATGTGGCAGTCACTTCTACAATTTTGTGTTTTGTTAAACTTCAGCGAATGAATGCACGGTTGGTGCAGTGCCGTACAACGCAGGTTCGATTACCGCGCGAAACAGCTTTTTTGTCATTTATAAATTGTTGTCCCGGGTCTTCGTGTAATCTATCTTAATTTGGACAGGGGAAAATCGTGTGTTTAACGTTTTCATATTAAAAATCCCTTAATTATTTCGTATATCTCAAACTTCTCTGGAACTCAGATTGTACCATTTTCTCTACGTCTTACCATGAAATATGTAACGTTTTATTTTGTATCGTGACTGCATTTACATCTACACATAATATTGCAATTTCACATTAATATGACATATTAAACCTGTTACAATTTTGTTGACAAAAAAAAGTATTTTATGCAGGAATTGAACTCACGACAGGTTCACTATTCAGGAGTTCAATGGAATTAATTATTATTTAAAAAAGTCATCGCCACTGAATCAGCCTTCGTTGCGGGATAAGCGCAATGTGTCACTGCGGCCTTGGGTCAGAGCAGGAGAAGGAACTGGGTGGGGAGCGGGGGTTAGTCAGTAAGATTCTGACACTTTCTACTGTGCCCGAGCCTGGGCGGGAGAAGTCAGTTGACGATATTCCCCTCACAAAAAAAAACCGCCACTGAATTATAATCGCAAATTATAAAATCATACTTAATAATTAATAACTACAACATAAATGTTAATTTATTTTACATAAAAAACAATAAAAGTTAAAAAGAAATTAAAAAATTCAATATTAATATGTATGATCAAAATATCACCATTTTTGCCGTTGTTCTTGAAGTCACATCGGACCTGCGAGCGTTGGAGGTCCTCGACCGCCACCAGCTTTCCAGACACTTTCCTCATTGACATAATGCGGATGAATTTTTGGATACAATAATATAAAGGATATTTATTTTCATTTTTATATTATTATTTTGATGAGTAAAAAAATATAAATACGTATAATCACATCCACCGATGGAACTCGTAAGGTCTGCCGAATGGTTTTCAGTTAGTAAGAGTCTGACACTAACTATCACTCCATTCAGAAGAAGTCCTTTGATGATTCTCTCTCAACTAGGAAAGCTCGTCCGATGGGGCAATGAGGCTCACTCGTTTCGCGCTCATAATAATTCAAATTTGTAGATTATTATTTTTACGAGTATGAGTTAAAAAATATAAGTATCTACATCACTTACAATAATTTTGTTTTTGTAAATAGGCCATAAAACACCACTTTCATCGAAATGAAGCCGGACTGGAAGTAGGAATACTAATATTTTAAACAAGTTGTTAATGTTCAAGATTGTATGTCCCCTACATCATCATCATCATCATCATCATTATCATATCAGCCACAGGACGTCCACTGCTGAACATAGGCCTCCCCCATTGACTTCCAGATAGGCCGGTTGGAAGCGACCTGCATCCAGCGGCTTCCTGCGACTTTAATGAGGTCGTCTGTCCACCTTGCGGGTGGACGTCCTACGCTGCGCTTGCCGGTCCCCTAGATACAAACTTAAAAATTTACCTGAACGATTATTTGGAACCACTGGTCGGGTTTCCACAATGCTTTCACTCATAGATAGCTACAATGTTTGGCTATAATAATCCCTCCCTCCCTGATACAGGATATATTACATTTATACACGCGTGCAAAGCCGCGGGAGCAAGCTAGTATGATCTAAAATGTTTATTTATGGGTAATACTAGCAATAATTTATACGAATAGACGTCACAACAATTATTGTGAATGCTAGCAAAAACATAATTACCTACAACAGTCCTATCTGATTAAGAAACTAAAATAAGCAATAGTTTAACGTACAAATAATAAAATTAAACTCATTTTCACATCGAGAGAGCAAGAGAAGGAACGGAGGGATTTTAGTCAGTATGAGTCAGACGCTTCCTCTCTCCATAGAGCAAAAGCAAGAGATTTGATTTGTTTGACGATTTTCCCTTCTCAAAAAAAAATACTTACCGTCTCATAGACTTTATTTATATCTTTGATAGTACGAAAAATAAAACCTAATCCTATTAATTGACTATTACTGTCAACTTATATTATAAGCATGTTATTTAATAATTATCATGTTGACATTAATGCACGTTCATCATAGATAGATATCGGTATTTTGAAAGGATTTTTGTGCTTATAAAACCAAATATACTTAGTTACTAAAAAATTGTTTTACATTAGGTATGTTAAAAAAATAGTATTCATCATCATCATTCATATCATTTTAGAGAAATAAATATGCTGCTTGACGTGAATGGTGTAAAAAATGATGACGTCACACCGTGCAATTTCATATACAAGTCATAGACATAGCAGCATTTCGAATAATAGCTTTGGGATTACTTATAACCTCCAATCCCTCCTCAATCCTTAATCTACGCAACCCTAATCTCCAAAAGGCGAGAAATGCATTCGTAAGTCCTCATGGTCTTCATGAGCGGCGCCGATTACCGATTACCATCAGGTAATCGTCAGCTCGTTTGCCAATTTCATCAAATAAAAAAAAAGCGTAAAAGTATAGAATTTGACGAGTTGGAAATTACCTTATTTTCTGGTTTTAGCACTGACTGACATGATAATAAAAAAGGAAAAGTAAAAAAGCTTAAACACAATGTAATCTTTATTGAGTCATAATTATAATAAAATAATTTAGCTTATTATGATACGAGTAATAAAATGAACGGTGAGTGACAAAATATTTTGAATATTTTATTCATTACCTATGCATTACAATTTTAGTAAATGATTTAAATTTTTATATAATAAATATGATTTATATATTAATTTAAATTTAAATTATTATAAAGCCAATTAACTCAGTACAATAATGATAACTTTTCACCTAAACTTCTCGAAAAACATTACTTAGTAAATGGAATTTTTGTTAAATCTAACTTATCACTATCATCCTTATTTCTATTTTTCAATAAATTGATAAAAATCAAATTTTAAATAAATACATAAAAATATCTACTTTATTCCTTTAGACAAATCATTTTTAATATATTAATTAATGTTTGACTACACACAAAGTATTTTTATCCTACTTTTCATATACTTATTTTCTCAAACGAAATTATGTACATAGTCTATAAAAAATATAATCTTAATCTAAACATTAAAATTTCTCTTTTGACTTGTAATATCATATTTATAATTACACAATTTACACATAAACTTGTTTGACGAGATAAGCCGATCAGTTTCGAGCCATTCACGGGGCTCGTCGACGAGTCATTTTATGAAACCATTGCATAAATAACCAGCTAAACCTAATTATTTTAAAGCGATGTTGTTCAGTTTTGAAGAAAATATTTATTATTTTCTCTTTTCCAAAAACTGTCTGACTCCTGAGCAATAATCAGTAATGTAGTCTGTCCAGTCTATCTTTTTTGCGTCACATGGAAAAATGCGTTGATCTGTGTGAGAAAGAGATGCAAATAGTTCACTTGTCTTCTTCGATTTAATTTCCCATGTATGAGATGTGAAGAAGTGAACCGCCTCCTGAGTCTGCGCTACCAGACTTTGCAGCTTGTAGTACCTGGTTGAAAATAAAATTGGTTATATATTTATAGAAGGAAAGTTATATAAAAAACTTACAAATTTATCCTTAGTGAAAAAAACTAAGTAAGATTAAGTAATTTGTAATAGGCTTAAAGAACAGCCCATGCAATGTAAAAGTACATACCGTCACGTCGTCTTTCTAATTAGTATTATTATTTTATACTTAAAGTAACTTAATAAACGACCCAATGGCAATAAAAATTGTTAAGTAAGTATATATGAGTTTTTATCATGCTTGATGGTAAGCAATCGGCGCCGCCCATGAGTACCCACAACACCAAAGGATGTATGATTGCGTTGCCGGTCTTTTGGGAATAAGGTTTCGGACATATAGGGATAAGGGTGGTGGTTAGTGAAGATTTGGCCTTCGGTAAACTCACTCACACGGCGAATCCCAACGCTGTGGTTGTTTCACGCCGGTTTTCTGTGACGTTGTGATATCACTCTAGGCAAGCCGACCCATTCGTGCCGAAGCATGTCTCTTCCACACCTAAAGTTTATATCCTGTGTATATTATAACACCTACATACCTCGGATTCTTTCCTAACAGACGTCGTCCGATGTCAGCTAAATACGCTGGTATCATTTGGAATATGATAGTCACCAGGTAAACCAGCCATCTGTAGTTACTGTACACATACCATCCGGGCAATGGCATTACATCTGAAACAATATTGTTTTTTTAATTATAAACTAGCTACTGCTGCTGTTTTACTACTGCTCGGCTCCTTTAAGTCGTAGGGTGATGTTTTATAGCCTATAGTATTCAGGAATATTGTAGCTATCCATCAGTGAAAGAATTTGGGAAATCCGACCAGCGGTTCCAAAGATTACCCTCTACATACAAACTTACAAATTTTACCTCTTTATAATATTATAAGTATAGAATTATAGATGAACTAGCTACTGCTACGCAGTTTTACCTACTGCTCGGCTCCTATTAGTCGTAGGGTGATGTTTTTAGCCTATAGCACTCCGGAACATTGTAGCTATATAGCGGTTTCAAAGATTTCCCATGCATACAAACATACAAATTTTACCTCTTATAATATTAATATAGATGTAATTAATACGTTCATTTCCAACTAGCCTAAGCCGGACTTAATGTCATAATTATGACATTCTCCAAATGGTGGATACTTTAAGTACTGTAATGAAAAAATCTGTAAAAAAATATTATGGAAGTCCACAATTTATTTTAATAATAGCAAAATTTATTCTGTGGAAACGTTGCTCAGTGATTATAAAAAAAAAACTTAGATAGTTTTATGAAGACATAATACTCGTCTTTACATATATTCTATATTTAAGTACCTATACTAAGTAAGTGCCTGTGTAATGTTAATAACATTAAGTTTAATAATACTGTTTTATCTAAATATGCATAATATATACATTGAACTGAACGTTACGTCAATTTTAATTGACGTCCAAAGTGTGTCTGTCTGTTCTCTAGTGATGCTATTTCATCATCATCATCAGCCTAAAAGTGCCCACTGCTGAGCAAAGGCCTCTTCTCACATGGAGAAGGTTTGAGAATTAATCACCACGCTTGCTCAATGCGGGTTGGCGATTTCAAACTTATAATTAGAAATTATAAGTCCAGGTTTCCTCACGATGTTTGCCTTCACAGTATGTCAGTAATAAGTGTCTAAATAATCATAGAAAGTACATATAACTCGGAAAAAGTTACATTGGTACTTGCCAGGTTTCGAATCCACACCCTCATGCATAAGAAGTGGGCTCCTCAACCTCCAGGCCACCACGACATACGATGCTATTTGTTCGTTCTTAAGTTATGATTTCTATGGAGAAGAACGAGCAAGAAACTTTATAAGTCTTCTCAATAAGAACGTGTTCCAAGTTTGATTGCCGCACGGAACGACGATTGTCGTACGAAAATATAAAAAGAGAGGTACATTTGGAAACTCTCCTCTTTTTTCCATAAGGGCCTCTGTGGTATATTTATTTGAACTTACAAGAATTATGTTTCACTGTATCGTCTATAAACAGACCGACGAGTCTCTCCATTGTTATGGGATTGCAGGAACTGCTGCAGGAATTGTAGATTGTAACTTCATTTGAACTGTAAACAAAAAGTAATATTTTAATAGGATACGGCACAAAGAAATACTGATCACCTGATACAAAAAAAAGACATTAACCAGCTCGCCTCTGTTTCACGTGGTAAATTTATCTGACAGTAAAGTAAAAATTGGCGTTGTTGAGTTTTGCATATACCAACAAACACGATTAGGTAATTTATATATATATACATATATTAGATAGATGATTTCATAGGGCGGCCAATGAAGAAACAACAATGGTGAGCAATAGATGCTGTCCATGGCTCGCAAAACCAGACTTACAAGTGCGATACGGCGATAAAAAAAAATACGTAAGTTTGGATTGAGAAATAATCACTGCCTGAATCCGGCCTAGTGATTTCAGATATGATTCCTGAACAAAAAGTCTTGTGTGTATAATTTAAGGTTTAAAATTAGATGATAAATGATGAAAGTTTGTCTAAATGATGAAAGTGTGTGTAATCAGGTGAGGTATTTCTTTCATAAATGGTCTAATATTAAATCTGTCGAAGATCAATTAAAAATCAAAGTCTCACCGATAAGTCTTTGCCCCAGCAACAATAACTAAATTAGCAACATAATCTACAGGGATGAGGTCCACAACGTGTGAGGATTGTCCATAAATAACACGGTTCAAGCCTTTGGCGGTGAAAACTGAGAGACCAGTGGCCCCATACCAGTTCGCCAACCAGCCCCTTATAGGATCATCCTTGATTGCACCCACTGCAAAAAGAAATGATACGTTAATTAAATGACCGTGTAAAAGTTAAAAGTTTGGAACGTGTAGTGAAATAACGTGGGGTATTAAGCTCATTCAGGTTTGAAACTTGAAAGGACGGATAGAAAAGAGAAATTTTTCCGCAATAGGTATTTTAAAGTAATATGGTTGAACAGTTGTGCATAATTTATGTTGAAAATAATAAAAGTCAATAGAACGCTTTCAAAATAAAATGTATGTTTTATGATTAACTAGCCGCACGCCCCTGCTTCACACGGGTCTCCAAACGGTTGAATTTCCCCGCTCTACTTTTCTAAAATTACCTTCATAAACTTTCCTGACAATTATAAAAGCAACAAAAAAAAAAGAATTGGCAAAATGGTGGAGACGTTTTTGTGTTATATGCTTACCAACATATTTTGCGATTCATTGTTATAATATAGATTACATAGATACCACTGACAGACGGTGAATGAAAATATTGTGAGGAAACCTAGGCTTATCTTCATATTTAAATTCGAATATGCCCTTTCATCTCAAGCAAGGTTGATACTTAAATATTCTTCGAGTGAGAAAGAAATTTGAGCTCGGCAGCAGCCACATAAGGAAGATAATGATGATATGGTTAAAATGTTGATAAAACAATAACTCTGAGTAAACAATAAATCACTTGATGTCGTGTCAAACAATCACGATAAATTCTTTTACATTTTACGAGCTAATAAACTGCTGCGAAGGTGATATAAAAATAATAATTTTCCATCGGCAACATAAAAAAGTTTATGATAGTTGTAAATAAAGGTAGTCCCGAAGCCTATGTCGTTTGCATATTTATACTGGTTTTATGATTTCGTGGATAGAGATAGTCTGAAATGGCTACATATGGAACTGAAGCAGAAGTTCCTGTTTCATACACTCTCCAGGGAATCAGAGGAAATCTGCACTGAATTAAATAAAAATATAATGTTTTGTGGTGTTGCTATGTGTTTTTTGCCCAAATGTAGGGCGCTTAGCGTTTGATATTCAGCCGCGGTCTAAGCCGAGAGCAGGAGAAGGATTGGGATGGTTTTTAGTCAGTAGGTCGACACTCCCTCTCGCCACACTCTGGGCGACAAACGTCCTTTGATGATTCTCAAAAAAAAAAACTATGGTATGTGCTTACCATTACGTGGATCGTATGTCTTACTGCTACCACTAGTAATATAAAAATAACAGCGAAATACAAGTGGACTAAAAAAAAATGCCGATTGAATCAAAAGCGATTGCCGATGGATTTGATTGTTGTCATCATGTTATAGATTTTCAAGATTGACAATTCTCTTATTTTTAAAATTTAAGGAGAATGGGAAGATACTTGTCTTAGGCTAAAATAACCAAATGTGAAGGTTTAAAACGCAATACTTACCTATAGAAGGTCTGACAATGACAGTAGGCATGTAGGCTTGGTTCTCAGCTACGAGGTGTTCCGTTAATGCTTTAGTAAATGTGTAAGTATTTGGACGTCCATCTGCAAAAACCATTATTATTATGGAATAAAAAACTATTGAACATGCTGGTAAGCAATCAACACCGCCCGCGTTATCAGCCTTAAGTAGAGTAGAGTAGAGTAAGGACTTTTCTTGTACATTCTTGTCGGTTTGGAAAATACCGCCGGCGGCTGTTTCTTCTACACCAGCGTTTTAAAAGTAAAAGTCAAAACTTCTGGATCCTTTTTCTTAACCTCTAGTGTTGTTAGAGTTCATGGGTGGCCCCAATTGCCTACCATCAGGTGATCCTTCCACTACTTAGCTATGTAATAATACAAAAAGGAGGTGTCTCCATTGTTGTTATCGTTTCCTAAAAGAAGCTTCTTAGAAAATTTAGTCTAGGCTTTTGTCGTATCGTCTAACTGCATCTTTGCAAAAACACCATTCAGACTCAGAACAACAATTTGTAGATGACACAAATCGTTTCAAGCTATAGTGCTATATCGTCACATAGTCATATAATTCGTAGATCACACAATTAGTTTCATTTACTCTACGATATCGCCACTTACTCAGTATTTTCTCTGTTTCCTCTTCAGTGATACCATTTTTGACGTATTGATGCACTTTGTTGATGTCTGCTGGTGGTGGGTATAGGACTTCATCGACCACTGCTCTATTTGTATTGGTGTATGCTGTCGATATGTGGATGAAGATCTGCAAGTTTGTATTAAATTGATTCTAAAATATCTTATTTAGTGGATGTAATCTATACTAATATTATAAGTTTGTATGTGGGGGATAATCTTTGCAACCGTTGGTCAGATTGCCAAAATTCTTTCACTGATAGATAGCTACAATGTTCTTGAATGCTACAGGCTATAAAACATCACACGATTAAATGGAGCCGAGCAGCGGATGAAACCGCGCGAGATTAGCTAGTTATCCATATAAACCTTGCTCTTTAATCACTTTATCTTTGAAAAAATTGCATCAAAATATTTCCCGCTCAGGGTAAGGCGAGTCGAAGTGTCAGACTCTTGCTGACCAAAAATGCCCCAGTTCTTTCTCCTGCTCTGGTCCATGGCCGCAGGGCCTCATTACGCTTGCCCCGCAACCCCAGCAAAATATATAGTGATATTGGGACAGAGAAAGCACACATGGACACCCACAATACTACAGAAGGGTTGCTTTTCAAATTCAAATTTGTTTATTTTGCGAATATGGGTACGTATGTACATGTAGATCTTATTTTATTTTACAAAAGGAGCGTTGAACATATCCTACCAGTATAAGGCTTGCAAAAGTAAACTATAAGAAACAAAAAAACAAAAAAAGCCTTTTGAGTTTTACAGTTTTGGAGATTTAGGGGGAGGATTAGGCCTCCAGTAACCTAAATTAGTAGCTTAGGGAATAAAGTGTTTCACAGGTGTAACCAGACGGGCTACTGTTTTACGAGCAAAAGTTTTATATCAGGTTTCTACCTGTGTTAAATTGTCATAAGATTTCTTCAAAAATACTTACCCCATTAAAGAAATACTTCACTTTCTGTCTACTTCATACGTACCTCGATCCTTTTCATCCTGCGACTCAAAGCCATGATCATCCGAGTGCCTTCGACATTGACATTCCACGCTGTCGCTAGGGGCTCGTTGAACTTTACAGTCGCTGCTGAATGGATGACCACCGATACCTGCAACGTTGCAGTAAGAACTCCATGTACATGCTGAAGTGGATACAAGTGAAGGAACCCGCATCCTTTAGGAGGGATCTCGGAGAGAGATTTTGATTTACTCAAGCCTTAGTCATTTTTCAAAGTCGATTTTTTTTTATAATATAGCTGTTAAACTGTGTACTGTTGTACTGGAACTAAACAAAAACTCACAATAGTTTGGAATGTTTCGAAAATTACGACCTGGAGTTACATGGCTTGCAAAAAGGCCAAGTCATTAAAAGACATTAATATATCCTATGCTACGTTAATCGCCATACATAATAAATCATTAATTTTTAAAATAACTATCGTGAGACATACTAAATTAACTAAAAATCGCGGGTTACTCACGTGTAAATATTGAGAAAAGCTCTACTAGTGCGCGGACGCGGCGACGTCGCGCAGCCTACATGACGTGCCTGCGCGACGTCGCCGCGTCCGCGCACGCTGCTTATGAGGAAGAACCCCTCTGTGGTTCGAAACTAGTAGAGCTTTTCTCAATATTTACACGTGAGTAACCCGCGATTTTAAGTTAATTAATTTTTAACTTTATTCAACATAAACATATAATTTACATTTTTAAATATTTCTTCAAAATTGAAAATAAAAATAACATTTAAAAATATAAAAAATAGTGTCCCACCGGTATCGGGAACAGGGTCCTAGCTACCGGCGGTCAGGGCTCTAGAGAAAGGAACCTCCTGACAATACGAGCCGTGTCCAGGAGTACCACTTTCTGAATCAAGCCCTTAATCCAGCCACCTAACGAGAGCCTCCTAAGATGTTGGTCGAGGCTCTTGGCTATTAAGCCATTGGCTGACACGACTATCGGTACAATGATAGCTGAATCCACTTCCCACATATCGACAACCTCGCGTGCCAAGTCGATATACTTGATCATTAGTCGATATACTTGATCATTTTAACTTTTTTATTATTACGATTTTATGAAATAGGTCGACAAACGAGCATACGGATTACCTGATGGTAAGCAATCAGCGCCCATGGACACCCGCAACAGAGGAGTTACAAGTGCGTTGCCGACCTTTTGGGGATTAGGGATTTGGTAGGGATTGGGGGAGGGGAAGGTTTAGACCTCCGGTAACCTCACTCACATGGCGAAAAACAACGCTGAGGTTGTTTCATGCCGGTTTTCTGTGATACCGTGGTATCACTCCTGTTGAGCCGACCCATTCGTGCCGAAGCATGCCTCTCCGACACTTGAAAAACTATGTTATTGTGTACAAAATATGGAATATAAATGTAAAACGTCTACTCTTCATATCGATTATAATACTCAGAAAATAATTAACATCAATTACCATTGTGTGTAGAAAATTGTATTGTTGTAGTTAAGTGCTTATAGCATTTCTACTCAATGAATACAGACAGACATAATAAACGTTTCTGTCTTAGAAAGAACTACCATTTTAGTTATTATCATTGTATGTTACTAATTTGCATTATAATGGCGATGGATAATCGATAATTATAGTATGATTGATTATTGTTTTTTTTTTTCATTCATTTGTACCTAGCTTCACCGACGAACAGACTGACAGACTACTATTCTATTTTGACGTTTCAAAAGTACCTATTTATGGTTTACTTGGAATAAATGATTTTGACTTTGACTTTTTTATTTAATCACATGTTTATTCCCGGGAGGTTCGTTAACTTGACATCAGTCAGTGGCCACGCGTACTCAAGGCTGATTAGCGATTCTGAAATGTTCAGTTCACGATGTTTTCCTCCACCGCCTGTCAGTAGTGTCTAAATAATCCTAAAAACACCTATACGTCGTTGACAAAGTCATCATCACTCGTCAAGGTTCTTTCTCATACTGTGGGTTTTTTTTTTATGGAATAGGTGGCAAACGAGCAGACGGATCACCTGATGGAAAGCGATCGGCGCCGCCCATGGACATCCGCAACACCAGAGGAGTCACAGGTGCGTTGCCGGCCTTTTAAGAAGGAATATGCTCGTTTCTTGAAGGTTTCTGGTTTCGGTTTAGGTATCGGTTCGGAAATACCGCCGCCGGAAGATCATTCCAAAGTTTTGCTGTGCGGGGCAGAAAGTTTCGGGTGAAACGCACAGTTGTTGACTGCCAACCATCTATGTGATGGGGATGAAAAACTTTTCGCGTGGAACGATGGCGAAAATATGCGGCGGGGATCAAACCAAACAATTCCTCAGAACACTCCCCGTGATAGATGCGATAGAGAATACATAGCGAGGCTACATCCCTACGCAGTGCCAAAGAGTCCAGCCGGTCCGAGACAACAGGGCAGTCGACAATTCGGACAGCTCGTCGTTGAATGCGGTCTAGAGGGAGAAGCTGGTACTGGGGTGCCCCCGCCCAAAGATGAGAACAGTATTCCATATGGGGCCGAACTTGCGCCTTGTAAAGTAGCAGGCGATGCTCCGGGGTGAAATAATGCCTCGATCTATTGAGCACACCAAGCTTTATTTTATTTATTTAGCAAAAAGTACAATTTTAGTTATAACATTTTGTTCTTATAATTAAAGATCCTCTTAGATCCTCTAAGATTAAAGATTCTTCGAGGCTAACTTGGCCTTACCCTCCAGATGACCGCGAAACTGGACTTCGCTCGATATGTCGACGCCAAGTATCCCAATACCGGCCGAGGCTGTGAGGGGGGTGCTCTGAAATTGAGGGGATACGACCAACGGCAATTTTTTAGTTGTAAACACGCAGACCTGTGTCTTTGCGGGGTTAAATTGGACCAAGTTAACGTCAGTCTACCCCAATCTGAGATTCTCTCTAAAGAAGTCTCGATTTCAGACACAAGCCTGTTTCGACTCTCGATGACATTTTCCCGAGAAATGTTATTACGGCCGGCGTAAAAGGCATCACCCGTGCTGTCATCCGCATAACAATGAATGCCACTAATTTGCAACATATCATTGATATGGAGGAGGAACAGAGTGGGCGATAGTACGCAGCCTTGAGGGACACCAGCGTTAACAGGCAAGCAGTCAGAGCACTCACCGTCGACCGCGACCTTTATGCTCCTGTCTGCAAGGAAGCTGGAAACCCATTCACACAGTTTCTCGGGAAGCCCATAGGAAGGTAGTTTCGCAAGAAGCCCTTTATGCCAAACCCGATCAAAGGCCTTCGCTACATCCAAACCGACTGCCATAGCCTCCCCCTTGGACTCGATCGCCTGTGCCCAACGGTGTGTCAGATAAACTAGAAGATCACCAGCGGACCGACCCTTACGAAAACCGTACTGTCGGTCACTAAGAAGCTGATGATCCTCCAAGTACCGAAGGAGCTGGCAGTTAATGGAGGACTCCATTATTTTCGAGAAGAGGGAAGTTATGGCTATCGGTCTGTAATTAGACGGGTTTGCGCGATCACCTTTTTTAGGGATCGGGTGGACCAGAGCTGTCTTCCATACCTTCGGGACTACGCCTGAAGAGTATGAGAGCCGAAAAAGACGTGTTAAGACTGGTGCCAACTCTGGAGCGCACATCCTTAACACAATGGGTGGGATTCCGTCAGGCCCACTTGACTTATGGGTACTTGGGAAACAGATGCCTTAACCTCCGTCTCCGTCCTCCGTCCTCCGTCTTAGATCATCAGTATCTACTGCCTACCTTGAAGTTATTCTCCTTTCAATGAGTCTGGCCAGCATTACATTGTCACATCACTATACCTCCCTGATGTCTTCAGATAAGTGTTTTGATAAACTAATTGTAAAAGAGTCACCATGTAGTTTCTTGCTTTTCCAAAGAAATTCACAATTTGGAAGACCTAAAACTTCTCCAGTGAGCAAGAGGACTGATTGAGACAGATTCTTAGATTTTCTATTTTGAGCTCGTACACTTACCGTATCTATTAATATAGCTTCGTTTTCATCTGATATTCCCAATCCAGGAACGGTTACATCGCCAGGTATTAATACTATTTTGTCCAGATCACCTGGTCTCTTCTCCTTTAGTCTATTGAAGAGCTGTAACAAAGATATACATTTGTTATTTTCTAAATAAAGCCTCGTATCCATTAGGCAACATTAGGCACGTCACATGTAGAATAAAATATTTTAGTCAATAAGTGTTCTTAAACTCCTTTTTGCTCTCCCTGAGCCGAGAGAAGACCATGTAATGATTTGTCCCCTCAAAAAAGGTGTTGTGTCCGGCTAGAGGTTATAGGTAAAGTGCAATGATGTACCGTGGCCCAGCCTGAAGAGGTATGGGGTAGTTTCTAGTAAGTTTGAATGCAACACAGTTGGGAAAGCTTATGTCCAGTCGTGGACAAGATCAGACTGATGATGATCATGATGATGATGATGATGATGAATTTAAATCTCAAATCTTACCTTACCAAGGGTGGTAAAGAAAATACACATTTGATATTGCCCTCAAAAAAAGGAATTCGCAATTCAGCAAGATGGTCAACTAATAAGTTGAGTATTATGTATAAAAATTGCTGTATTTTTAAATAGCGTCATAAACACCATCAACTTTTTGTTTTTTTAATCCAATTTTGAAAATAGTGTTAAAGCACAAAATTATGGATATGTCGTTTATGTTAGGTACTTACCGGATCGTCGACAATTTTTGTCAGTCTTTCGCGGATAGATTGCCCCTTTTTCTCTCTGATCAGCATGTAAATCTTATCGATATCGGGACAACTGTACAGCAGCTTTTCTATGAATACCTGTGTTAAAACATAATCATCATTTTAATACATTACGTAGAAACACCCAGACATCGCATTGACATTTGACTGTATCGTTGGTGATTGGTGGACATAGTACCGAGCAAGGGTCTTGAGTAGTTTTAAGTTGTGATTAGTATCAATGTATAGTATATAATAAAATCGCTTTCTCTGTCCTATGTATGTATATACCTACATATGTATGCTTTAATCTTTAAAACAGATTTGGTAGAGTAATTGAAGAGGAAGGTTTATATGAAAAATTACATCTATTAAATAGTAGACAAAATTAGTATCAGCCATCACCATAGCACCCGTGCAAAGTGTGGGTCGGTAGTTCAAAATAATTGTATTCTTATTTTATCAGATTTCTTGAATTCTACTTTATTATATAAACTCACACAAATGTTTCCAAAATCAGATGTGAATTGAGTGTTTTGAAAGAGCCAACCACGAATGAGCCGGCCCGACCATACCGCATAGACTGACAGAAAATTGGCGTGATATCGCCAATTTCCCCCAATCCTCAAATACGTACACTAAGGGCCCGCACTTGCAACTGCTTTAATGTCGAGAGAATGCATGAGTAGCACCGTAGGCTTGCTATCAGATGGTGAACCGTATGGCAAAAAAATGTGGGAGGGTCATGCTTCAGCACAATGTTTTCGGCTCGACCGGAGTGAAACCACGGACTCACAGAAAACCGGCGTGAAAAAACGTTATGTTTCGCCGTGTGAGTGAGGTTACCGGAGGCCCAATCCTTCCCCTCCCCCAATTCTTAAATCCCCAAATCCCTAAACCCTAAAAGGTCGGCAACGCGCTCGTAATTCCTCTACTGTTGTGCGTATACATGGACATTAAAAAAATGCTTAGTACATTAACTAACATATAACGTATGTACAAGAATTTACTTTAACCTTTTGTCGTACTAAATTATTATAAATCAAGTGGCTTCTGTCTAGGAAGTAGGAGTGATTCATAGATTTACGATTCAATTTTGAACTTTGACATTTCAAAGTCTACATAGTCATTTAAATGGCTTTACACAAATATAAATGAAAACAAATTACCATTTAGGAAATTTCAATCGGCCTTTTCTTTTTAATTTTTTTATCTAGAATCTATACTAGGTAATATTACAGACATATAATAAAACTAATACGAATATAATTACAATCTATACTTTTTATTACATAAAGCTAAAGTGAGTTTGTTTTTTGTTTGAACGCACTAATCTCCAGAACTACTAGTTCGAAGTGACTAATTCTTTTTGTGTTTGCTAGTACATTAATCGAGGAAGCCTTTAGAACGATATGTATAAAACATCACGGTACGATTTGTAGAAGCCGAACAGCGAGTGAAGTTACGCGACAGAAGCTAGTTTGTTAATAAGAGGGATTTTTATTGAATATTTAGGATTATTGAGGGATTTTGAGCACGAATGGGTCGGCTCGACCGGAGTGATACCACGACCTCACAGAAAACCGGCGTGAAACAACCACAGCGTTGTGTTTCGCCGTGTGGGTGAGGTTACCGGACCCCCAATCCCTCCCCAATCCCTAAATCTTCAAATCCCTTATCCCTAAAAGGTCGGCAACACACTCGTAACTCCTCCGTTGCGGGTGCCCATGGGCGGCGTTGATTGCTTACCATCAGGTAATCAGTCTGCTCGTTTGCCGACCTATTAAATAAAAAAAGGTAGGTAATTATAACTAGTCTGTGCGGTTGGCGCAGTGAGCGGGTTACAGACAGCCATGCGACGTGTCGCGGGTTCAATTAAATTATTTGGGTGTGACGCACATGTAAAATTGTACGCATGTAAACGCGCCTAGTACACAAAGGAAATCCTTGAGTGAAGTTATTTTTTTCTTTTAATAATTCTGAATTACATTCCGTATATGTATTATGATGTATGTACTTATCAACACTTTTTGGATTGAATGAACGTTTTTTGCTCATTCTGCTCCATAGGAACGAGCAAATTGTTTCAATGGAGGACTGACCATCAGTTTGACCTAACTTTATATTTTTAATTAGTTTGTTTGACGTCCCAAAGTGTCTCACGTACGGTGTATTTGAAAGATATGATTTGATTTTGACTATGAGTTTATTACGTACTGTTAAACGACGAAAATCAACTAAATGAACGTCACTAATATAATCTGTGGTCTCGGCAACACTGGCTGCCGTGGTGAATCTGTCGTCTGTCAACTGAGACAGATGAATAAAGTTTTCCCGCGCCAAGAGTGCAACGGAGATTCTGGTGGGAAGTTTGACGAGCATTCAAATACGTTACTTATAAGAATCCGTTTTTAATTAAACCTACATATTTAAGAGTATGGTGTTTTTTACTCAAAAGTACATAGATTGATTAGCATTTCTTTGTGGAATATGAATTAATAAAAAAATCATTTTGGATTAGTAACTATCGTGAGATATGAGAACTATAGAGAGATATAATATTGACTGCACGGTTGGCGCGGTGGCTGGGCAACTGGCTGCTGTACAACGTGTCAAGGGTTCGATTCCGGAACAACACTTTGTGTGATCAATACATTTTTGTTTCGTGTCTTAGTGGTTTATGAATGTGAAATTGTATGTTTCTAAACGCACCCACGGCACAGGAGAAAATCTTAATGTCAAGGTTTATTTAAAAATAAGCCGACAATAAGGACTTATTCGACTGCGTAACGTCGCGTCGCCACGACGCGCACGCTGCTAATAAAAAAGAGCCCCGTTGTGACTTGAAACTAGTAACTAGAGTTTTTCTCAGTTCATTCGGTAAGTCGCTAAGTATTTTCCATGAAACAAGAATTTGAAATCAATCAAAAGCTGGATTTATATATTTATTTTGAAAAACTGATTGAAATTATTTACTCAATTTGTAACTTACGTAAGAAATGAGTGGGTTAATTTAAATTTAAGTAGTAACCGTTTTCTACTACGAGTAGTCTACGAATTTTATTGAATATTTATTAGTTATTTGAATTTAATTTATCGAGGCACGCATATGTTAATTAAGTAGATATAATGATTATTTTTGTATGTTGAGAAAGAAAATGTCTATTTCGCTTTTGTTTTCAGGGAACTTTGACCAATAATATGCATAAACTTTACAGACTAGAATAAATATTTTAATGTATCGAATAAAATCAAATCATTTATTTGCATAAAATGTAGTTTTTTTTAATGTAATAGGTCAGCAAACGCAGACGTGTTACCTGATGGTAAGCAATCAGCGCCGCCCATGGCCACATCCGCAATAAAGGAGTTACGAGTGCTTTTAAGACTAGGGATTTGGAGATTTAGGGATTGGGGAAGGGAAAAGATCGGGCCTCCGGTAACCTCACTCACACGGCGAAACACAACGCTGTGGTTTTTTCTCGCCGGTTTTCTGTGAGGCCGTGGTATCATTCAAACATGGCTCTCCCACACTTCAATAATAACAATGTCATTAAATACTTTACGTTAAAATTCATCAATTACAAGTTTTTTGTTGAATTTGTCAATGAGACGTTTCCGTCCATTCGCTTTAAATTGAGTGGTTATACATCATCTAGTGACTTATTACATAACAGTTGTGCCATGCAAACCCATAACAAACATCGAGTTTTAGCCAAAGTGTAAAATAGGAATCAAGTGGCTTCACGCATACGATTACTAAGCTTGAACGGCTTCAAGCGTAGTAAGTAGAGACTCTTACTGACAAAAAACCCATTCCGTTCCTTCTTTTACTCCGGGCCAGGGTCGCGGTACACTACTACGTTTGTGTGCGATTTTTTTTATGTTATAGATCGACAAACGAGCAGACGGATTACCTGGTGGTAAGTAATCAGCGCCGTCCATGGACACCCGCACGGAGAAGTTACGAGTGCGTTGCCGACCTTTTGGGATTAGGGATTGAGGAGGGATTGGGGGTGGGGTAGGATTGGGCCACCGGTAACCTCACTCACACGGCGAAACACAACGCTGTGGTTGTTTCACGCCGGTTTTCTGTGAGGTCGTGGTATCACTCCGGTCGAGCCGACCCATTCGTGCCGAAGCATGGCTCTCCCACACTCAAAATTAATGTTTGTTTACGTACAGTTTATATACCTTATAGAAATTACTAGTGTCAATGACGTCATAACATGAATGTGCGTCATATACAGTACATAAAATGTACAGTTTTCAAGGCGCTGAACGAATTTATAAGTAAGTAGGTAGGTAGGTACAACACATCTGACGGACTTGAATGGATGCGAATTATAAATTCATGAATGAATTTGTAATTAATTCTTTGTATGTAAATGGTGTACTACTACGATTGGGATCGATTCCCGTGAGTGATGATGGTTCTTTTTCTAAATTCTTAGTGATGTTATTGTTTTTTTTTTTCTTTTTTGTGAGGGAAAAATCATTAAATGACTTCTCCCGCCCAGGGCCGGGCGGGAGGGAGTGTTAGACTCTTACTGACTAAAAACCCCCCTGTGCCTTCTCCTGCTTTGGGCCGAGGCCGCGGTGCCTCATACTTTTTTACCGCTTACGCGCTTACCCCGCAACCCCGGCTGAACATCAGCCCTATAGGGCCCCGTCTGTGGTGGTCTATTGGTCGGGCGGCGAGCTACCCTTACTCGCCGACCGCAGACCCGCGCTTACGCGCTATCGCCGGAGATCTTCCCTTGATCCCCGACGCACGTAGTGTCGCCTGTTGTGGCGGTTGAGGCGTGAGGAGGAGGATTGCGCCGTCACGCGGGCCTCCTCCCTCTTTGCGAGCATAGCTGCTTCAGTGATGTGATGATGGAGTCAGTGCAGGTGGCAACTTTCGTTCGACGTGGGCTAAGGGGGAGGCTTTTGTCCAGTAGTGGACGTTTTTCGGCGAAACCAAAATGATTTTTATTCGGTACCAATTTGTAATTTCCAAAAATTAAAAAAAAAAGTTATTCACCCAGGAGTCGTAATAAATTCACCCTTGCAATTTGATCCAAACATGTATAATATATACATGTATAATGTATAATATAATACATGTATACCTGAGGCTATCGTGAATATATTTGATAAATATAAGGTAATGTTTAAATCAAATCTCAAAAAATACTCACCTAATAGGGCGCCATTAATGACCGCACATTTAAAAAATGACATAAAAAATATTGCTTACCTTCCCCAAAAACCCGGTGCCACCGGTAATAAAAACACTTTTTCCCGCGTAAAAATCTGCGACGGACATATTTGATTTTTCTTTCGATGTCAACACAACCATTTTTACAATTATCAACTGAAACTTCACTTTATCACGAATATTAAAAGTTAAATAACAGAACACTTTTTCTTTTGGCTGTCGGTTAAGAATTGGACGCGACTGAAGACACCTGGATAGTAAAAGATTTAACACAACAATGAATTTTGTTCGCCTGATGATAAATACTTACAGTAAATATAAACACGTCGTAGCGGCCATGTTGCCAAATCAGAGTCTTTGCGAATCGTCCGCTTTTAAAGAGTCTTGAAATTTTTTCGGTTACTCTCCTTTTTTTAATTTATTTAACTATTTCATTCAGGCTTTGTCGGCCCATGTCAAATACTATAAATAAGACATAAAACAATCTATTTTGAAACTTATTACTTTATCAGACGAAGAAATGTCGTCGTCTTTCGCGGAGTATCATGCTGCCGACCTGGGTAACATCAGTAAACTACCCTTCTCGGCCAAAACTCCTATCATGCAATAGGGCGCTAAACGAGCAGACGGATGACCTGATGGTAAGCAATCTTTCCCGCTGTTCTGTCGGATGGAGGTATTGGAGTTGGGCGTCAAATAACCACACTCACATTCTTTTCATATGGGATAGTGCGTTTCCGTCGTCTTACAACTTGCTAGGGATGTGAAGATTAGTGATTCAGGGATGGGGAATGAACCTTGTACACTCGGCGAGCGCTGTTTCATGCCGGTTTTCTATGGCCTATCATTGCAATCTAATCAGCCCATTCGTGGCAAAGCCTGCCTGTCCTATTCTTAACTTTTTTATGTACCTAAGGCAATGGTGGCGCTGCAGTTGAAGTATTCATTCATCGATATGTGGCCGTCCCACGCATACCTAATTTTTTTATAGCCTTTTAGGTCAGTTTAGTGATTATCTTTATTTTTAAACCAATAGTTTTGCAATAGTATCCTTATACATACTTCTAATTCAGTTAATTTGGAGATCTATATTTTATGAGTAGGTAGACTTGCACCAAAATAGATTTGACCTTAGATGTTGCGAAAAGATTTTAAAGACTGGCTTTTTGTGGGAGTGGGCCTAATGTGACATTCTCTAATATTCTATTTTTAGTATGGTAATGAGAAGTCATAATTATGTGTTCTAGATCATTGCAAAACTTCTATTTTTATTCAATCAGTCCAGGGTTGAGAACCAAGTTCCGCGCGTGCCTCAAAGAGCCAATAGACCATCACAAACGGGGCCCTATAGGGCTGATGTTCAGCCGGGGTTGCGGGGTAAGCGCAATGAGTCACCGCGGCCTCGGCCCGGAGTAGGGGAAGAAACGGGGTGGTTTTTAGTCAGTCAGAGTCTGACACTCACTCTCGCCTCACACTGGACAAGAGAATTAGTCTGATGAACTAACCCTGTCAAAAAAATCTCAATAAGCAGGCTGGGAAAACGCTTAGGTAATGATAACCCCACGAAAATAATAAAAGAATTGTATCAGTAGCAATGTTTTAAGTTGTCAAAATCGTCAACGAAACAAATGAGAGTTGCGAAAAAAAGCAATAAGTATGTACCACTTATAATTAAATACAAAAACAGCATATTGGAAGAAGACATAAACTAAAGAGTGTCAGTTGAGTTTTTTTAAGTTACAATCGAAAAATTTTCGTCAGCAACCGACCATATTTCAATCCAAGTCTTGTCCCAATTGGACATATAATTACTCTTACTTTTTTAATAGTTGGGATCGACAAAAATGGTATGATGATCAGACTGACCTCTCGTACAACTTAATTTATTATCAGCTCCACAAATTAAATAGCACGAAGCGTTGCGTAACGTCATATACAGTCGTAAAGCTGTCTGAAGGCTCAAAATCCTTTATTTTGGTAAAGAGATTCTGGACCGTAATCAAAATCAGGTAAGGTCAAAAATCCCGTGACGTAAGCAATGGATTCTGGCCCTTCAAGGCCAACAAGTTTGAAATAAATCTTCACCTATTTGGTATACCTGATTGACCTACTTGTGTGAAACGTGTTTTATGCAATACGAACTTTTTTCCTCCTCCTTATCAGAAAGGCCTTTAAGACTTCCAAATGAAGCTTCTGTAATTTTGATTTTTAAAACAACGAGGAAAACATGTCGAATGCTTTTGTTTTTTATATTTAAAAATGGCTAATGGCTATATTGATGTTATGTTAACTTTAGCATCTGCTACAAGGGACTTGTAAAAAGATCTTCTAACAATAGTGTTATAGATGCGTCTTTATTTTTCTAATGCGATGGCAATCGCAGCTTCTCACGCCACGCCGTGTGGACCCCGACGGTTATCGGCAAAAATCGAAGCGGTGTTCATTCTTTTCCTATGGCTACGGCTGGCTGCCCTGTATCATCTGTGTCGCCCTTGTGAATTCGCCATCGCTAGCATGCCTCGATCCACTGATAATATCCCTGAAATAAATGTCACACAAAACATTGCAACGGGTTTATAAAAAAATGGAATATAATTAATGGAATGTGTTGATCGAGTAGGTAATTTTATAGAAGAGATCGGGGTTTTCATGATTTTCAGATTTCGCTGCGACCCCATCTTAAGATCTTAAATCTTAGTAAATATCTGAGTCCCATATCTCCAAAAGGCCGGCAACGCGCTGCTACTTAACTCGTCTGGAGTTGCGAGCGTCCATGGGCAGCGCCGATTGCTTACCGTCAGGTAAAGCGTCTGCTCGTTTGCCGACATAACCCATAAAAAACATATTTCCGCAACACTTTATTTCAGGCAATTTAAAAATGAGTTCTAAGTAGGTATTAGAAAAATCACTTTGACTACTACACAAAATTAATTAGATGACTGTATCAATGAACTAAACAATGTATCAACACAACACAGACAATTAATTTAAACATGTTTGTGTTACAATCTAATGAACTGCTAAACATAAAACGACGGCAACACTTTTGTTTTTGTTTTGTTTAGAAAACGCAGTTCGTTATTAAATATGAATTTTGGTTTCAAATACGAATTGCCTTTTTAGTGTTGCCTAAACCAAAACATAGCTGTTTATTCACTTTTTAGGGATAGTATTATTAATATAAAATGAAAGGTAAAGTCTTATTTTGGCTAGTCAAAATGCCTATAATTTTATTGAAGGAATCATTGGATTTCATATTGACTGCTAATATTGAATTTTATAAGGTGCCATGCTTCGGCACGAATGGCTCGGCCGGAGTAACACCACGACCTCCCAGAAGACCGGCGTGAAACAACCACAGCGTTATGTTTCGCCGTGTGTGAGGTTACCGGAGGCCTTATCCTTAAGATGTTTATAACAAAGTAAATATCTTATTAAACAGTAGGTACTTAACGTAATCTCATGTTTCATATGTATTACATCGTAAACATAGCACTAGCAACTAGCAACCCACCCGGCTTCGCACAAGTGCAATGCGCTCTCCACTAAGTATTATTAATTAATGTTTTGGATGTTATAATTTACCTACTTAATCTATACTAATATTATAAAGAGGTAAAATTTGTAAGTTTGTGTGTAGGGGATTGCCAAAATTCTTTCACTGATAGATATCTACAATGTTCCTGAGTGCTATAGGCTATAAAACATCACGCTACTATTAAATGAAGCTGTGGAATGCGCTACCCCCCGATGTCAGGACTGTGACTAGTCGGCTGACATTCAAGCAGAGAGTTCGGGAGCTTCTTCTGAGGAGGGTTAGGGAGTCATCGTGATCACGACTACATTTATGTATATATATGTATATATGTATTTATATGTGTAAGTATATTAAGTAGTATGTGTTTTATAATATATATAGGTATAGTTC